AAGAATTTGAAATAAACAGCAAAAAGCTAAATAAGATTTTGATCTAAGAAAGTTATAAATGTATTAAGGCTCCATATAAATTTGGAATATTGACTTTTACTGTAAGATTTTGGAATTAACTATAAAAAATAAACAGTTTCTCATGGGAAACAGACTTATTTTGGCTATCCTGGCTATTCCAAGTCATAACAAAAGATAAGTGATGATTTTAGAAACTGGACACGAGTGGACTAAAGAGTTTAAGCAGAAGAAAAAAAATAGAAGTCAATTGTTCTTGATGTCAGTTAACACTGGGACTTACAAATGACACAAAACATTATAACATTGGAAATATTAAAGGAGGTATTTGAAGAATGGAACCAGAAATTAGCAACTACAGTATTAACACTCTCAGTAATGATGTCTGCTTCTATGGATACACTATGTCTAAAAGATGCTAATGAAGGAATGACAGATATGGAACAAATTTTATCTGACAAGAAAAGGTATCGAAAATGGAACTACAAATGACAGGCCAAGAGAATAATTTGGAAAAGGATGCTTTACTGGGCATACAAAAGAAACTGTAGCATATCATCATGTATCATATTAATACATATGATAAACCAAGAGAATGACCTGGAAAATGTTTTGTTATTGGATCTACAAAAGAGACTTGTTAAAGCCTTGAAGAAATCTGTGGGATCGGATAAAGAAGAATTGAAGAGAAATCGAATTCTGCAGCTATATTTGATTGAATTAAAGATTAAGATTGTTAGAAGTAAAAGGAAGGAATATAAAGTTGGTTTATTTAATCAAGGTTAAAATAAGCCTTTTTTCCCCCAATGTTCTGGAAACCTTTGATGGACCTTTTGCTGACCTCAGGATTGAAAAGTTGATGTTTTATGGATTTGCTTATAGATAAAGGATGGGATATGGGATGAAGAGATATCTGTTTAACCTTATAGGGGGTGAAGAATTATTTAATTTGTTTATACTTGTTGTGATGAAGGTTGGAAGTCACTTCCTTATATATTTCTTTTCTTTTTCTTTATTATATTCTTTCTTTTCTTCTTCTTTATTTCTTTTTTTCCCTGCACTTTTTATTCTTTCTTTCCATTCTCTTCTGTTTCTTTAACTTTAGTTTATATTAGTTTTTACTATTGTAATTAAAATTCTTAATGCAAATTATATTTAAAAAATCAAGAAATTCATTCTGAGTCACATATTGCCTACTACTTGAGTGACGTCTTGGTTTTCAGAGCATATGCAGGATTCATTGCAGAAAGGATAATCCTTTTGCTTAAATGTTGTTTGGTATTACTGTTTTTCTCTCTGAAAGCAAAAATTAGTAGTGTTAGAGGAATTTGAGATAAGTGCCATCAAACCTTAATTACTCTTTTTTTTAATTCCAGGGTTCTAGGCAAGAAAGATATTTATTTAGTGGCTGAAATCACTTTCCCACCAATTCTATGCTTGAATGATGAAAGGATTAAAATGATTTTACTTGGATATACTATTGTTTAGGACAGCTTAGATTTCATATTGGATTTGTATTAAAAAAAGAAAAGATCATCTACGGTCTATTTAGGCCTCTCAGCATATGGTCAACTTACTAGACATTCTAGGAGGAACTATTATTAAAACATAGGAGTATAATTTCAGATAAAGGAATTTGGTAGCTCCTGATGTAGTGATGAATATTTACATGGTTTTAAAATAGATCATTTCATGGTAAATAAGGCTTTCAAAGCTACTTTTTATGATGGCTATATTTGAATTCCATAAATGGAAGCTATAGATCTCTGAATACCAGTTTCTTAAAGACTTCCCACTAGCACCTGATTAGCTGCATGGAACAGAATGCTTGACTAGATATGACTTTGGTCTGATACAGGGCAGCTCCTCATTCATGATTAATCTCTTCCATCCAGCTGGGAAAATTACAGTGATAGATAATATCAAGTATGAAAGTTTAATTCAGTCATCTATATAATGCAATACCATTCCTCATGTTTGCACCATTCTTTTTCAACAGTTAACCATGTTACATTATCATTCACTGACCTTGAGATTGAAAACGATATGCATAACTGCAGCACTGATTATGTAGAAATTCGGGAAGGAGATAATTCCAATGCTCCTTTGCAAGGTATGAGAACATATACAGTACTGATTTGCCTATATCTTTTAAGCAGGGATTTTATTTGTTCATAAATGAACTTGTTAAGAGATAATGACACTTTAAAGATAAATGATATTTCTATGTTTCAGGGGAAAAAAATCTGGAAAGTATCTGCTAGCTGATTTAATGCAGAGGCCTCCAGAAATCTGAATGGATTTGGCAGCATGTAAATTTAAACAAAGAAAGCAAGCAGGGTAGGAAATCTATGGCCCTCTAGACTTTTTTGGGACAGCAGTGCCCATTATCCCTGGCCATTGTCCATGTTGCATCAGGCTGATGGAAATTAAAGTCCAACAACAGTTGGATGGTGACAGGTTTCCCCCCTGCACTCTGCAACCTCTGCTGAATTTGTCTTCAACACAATGAGATACATGACTATGGGCTACAGAGAAGAGGCTGCTCTGTTGCTCACTCCAATCACCTTCTCTTTTCACTGTCCATAGCAATTAAGCCATCCAGTTTCTTCATTAAATTTGCCAAGGTTGTGATGTGTATTGTATATATAATGGGGTGGAGTTATTCATAGAATAATTGAGAAAAGGAAGAAGAAGGTTTTCTTACAACTTCTCATTTTGCCAGAGATCAGAACAATGGAATGAATACATACCTGAGATACATTGGAACATTTGGGGGAAAGTGTCACTCCTTAAGATATCTGATGAACCAGGTGAAGTAGGATGGCACAAAAAAAATAAACAGCTTCTCATGGGAAACAAGCAGGGATATTTAAAAACAGACTGACATGTTCTGATATTAATAATGCACCAGCAAGATGTGCAAGTGTTTTTGTATGCAGCGGGCACTACATCTTATCTTCCAAAGATGTATTGCATATTAATCATGAAGTATGTAACAGACCTTTTCCTTTCTCTTCATAGTACAGAAAGTATACCTTTTAAGCTTTTAAGAATGTTCCTCTCAAAGTTGAAACAGTTTTTTAAAAAGTATTTGCAGAGAACAGGGAATGAGCAAAGTGGACAAGGAAAAAGAAATAATGCAATACTGTCTGTATAATACTTACATTTGTTTCTCCAGGGCGTTATTGTGGCTCCACAATGCCACTTCCTGTTACTTCTTTTGGCAATGCTTTATCCATCAACTTTGTCTCTAATAATGCTACCATAGCAAAAGGGTTCCGTGCCACTTTTGTTGCATCAACATCTGGTAAGAATAAATTTGAACGATTGTAGTGTAAAGACAAATAACTTTTGAAGATGCAAACATTTTAGCTCTGCCTGCACATGTCTTGTCATCAGAAGCTCTCAGGAATGAAGCATTATAGCCTGGGTAATACATAAGGCACAATGCTGCAAAAAGCTTATTTACTATTAGTAAAGTACATGCCAATCTTGCAGCACAGCAGCAAATTATATAGCTCAAAAGGTATAGATTTTGACATTTGCTTGGCCTTTTGTCAACAATGTCCCAGTGCTTGCTGACTCTCTCTGTTCCCGAACTTGCTGCATGGAATAACACACTTAGAAGATGTCTTATGCTCGACTGAATCTTAGGAGAATCTAATAGGCTAGCCTTCTGTTAGTCCATCAGATGTTGCAGTGGGGAGCAGCTGGCCCTTTAAATAACAAGCCACACTTAGGTGCTCAGAAGTAGTCATCTGACCTTGTGAACCAACAGAAAAAAAAGAAGGGGCTCTGTCAAGGTCCTGGGTGGGAAAAGGTTTAGATTTTTGTGGGGAGGTGACTGGAGTCCTGGATGAAAGGAGTTGTATTAGGCAAGGCTGGCAAAGGAGGAGCTGTTTTGTTATAGGCTAGAATCATGTTTGCCGACAAAGATCCGCATAGTCAAAGCTATGGTTTTTCCAGTAGTAATGTATGGCTGTGAGAGCTGGACCATAAAAAAGGCCGAGCGCCGAAGAATTGATGCCTTTGAAC